TTGAGTTCACCTTTTCTACCTACCTGAATGGCACCGAGCTAGTCACTGCCATCGAAGATCTGAACTACAAAGGTGGAAACACACGCACGGGCGCTGGGCTGAAGTTTCTCTCCGACAACTTCTTCAACCCTTCGTCTAGTCGGGATGTGCCAAAGGTATTTCGGAGCAGCCATTTAGTGTAATGTTGAAATTAAGCTTAGCTCTTCTGACCATGGATTTGTCTGTCTTTTAGATCACTATCCTGATCACCGATGGAAAGTCACAAGACAATGTTCAGGACCCGGCACAGAAGCTGCGCAGTCAAGGAGTGCATGTTTTTGCAGTTGGTAGATGTCTCCTCTGCAGCTCTGCACTCTGACACAATTGTTAGGAATTTTTATGGGCATGTGAGAAGAATCACTGTTGTTTTTTTTTCCCCTTTTTGTGTTTGTTAGGCATAAAGAGTGCAGACAGGAGTGAATTGGCTCAGATCTCCTCGCAGCCCAGTAGTGATTTCACCTCCTATGTCGGGGACTTCAAACTTCTGAACACACTTCTTCCTCTTGTGGGACCACGGGTCTGTTCCCAAGCTGGAGGAATCTATGCCAGTGATGGTGTGTGGACGTTTTTAAATATATAATTATATATTTTAATATAATAATTATTATAATCACACAGCATGTAGCGCTGCCCTTCCCCTGCAGGGGGAGTTACTCAAGCATTTCAGTTTATTTATAGATGAACCACAACTTTGACAGATTAACCAAAAATAAATAATGATACCATATAACGACAGTTTTGGACAATGTAAGTTGCATTACTGCCACCTACAGGTCAATCTTTTTTACATAGTCACATGTATAATCATTTCCATCCAAAATCATTCTGACCACTTTCAGGAAAAGGAAGTGCAGATTTGCTTTTGCAGATGAATATTGATATGGACATCACTTTTGTGGGATTGAATATTTTGTTTGAATAAAAATCAACCATTTATGCCTGTAACTTCTATAACCTGTTTCAAATAATATTAAGGCTGACACAGATACTGTGAAAAGATAAAAATCCCACGCCTTATCTTCTCCTCTGGCAGAAGCATTTTCTGGTCCGTCCAACCTTCAGTTCACAGGCCAGACATCTGATTCCCTCAGATTTCGCTGGAGTCCAGCCGGAGGTCCTGTCAGTGGCTATGTAGTTCAGTATGTACCACTTTCTGGTCTGGGTCAGCCAATATCAGCAGAACTGAAGCAGGTGAGCAGTGATGTGTTGCTTTTTTCTTTTTTTTTTTGTGTTGACTCATGAAGCTCCGCAGCTGCACTTTCATCAGACCTACATACGGTGGTTAATTGCCGTTTTTAGCAGACTAAATCAACCCTGCTGTGGGAGAGGAGCTCACGCCTGGAGGCTGAGTATAAACATAAGGAGGGTGGGTCCTCTCCATGGAGGTGTTGTTAAGATTGGCAGAACTTACAAATTCCTTTTAAGTAACCGTGCAGCCAAGCTGAAATAGAGAACATAACTTGTTCTTTTGACTTTGCAAAAAAATATATTAGAACCATGAATATTTGCGAAGATGATCTGCGTCTTCCTCTGCAGGAGACGGTCTCTGGTAATCAGAGGACCTTCACTGCCCGAGAGTTGCGGTCAGGGACAGACTACCTGGTGACGGTCATCGCCCAGTACCCCAACAGTGAAGGAGAGTCTGTCTCCGCCAAACAGAGAACCAGTGAGTTAAACATCGAGTTCATTATCTTTAGTGAATCGTTACATTAACAAATTAGGACTTCACCGAAAAATGAAATTGGGAAATTATTATGACATGCATATACATGCATTACTGTACGTGCTTCATTAGAATAAACTACTTTGACGTGTGCAGAGTTGTCTGTTTTTCTGGAAATTGGAGAAGAAGACGCTTCACTTCTGCCTCCGACTTAAAACCGGGGGCTACACGCCTTTACTCGCCTCCTCACCGTGATCATTAGTTCATTTCTGTTATCTCACTACAACATCTGTTGATCACAGTACTGACGTGTCAGATTATAAACAGATATAAACCATACGGGTTTCATTTTTTTACTTATTTATCACTTTTTTAATTTGGTAAAATACTTATTTTTAGGTTGATTTTAAAGGTTGATGTGTGAATTAAGTTTATTTAAAATGTATATATGTTAAGGTGCAGACCATGAATTTTTTTTTTTTAAGCTCAGTTCCAGTTTTCTACTGGCCTGGTTTGGTAAACTTGCTTTCTATCCAAAAATTGGAAAGACGTCAGTTTCTGAATTTGTTGATTTTTACCAAAAGTTTTAATAATAGTAAAACACTAATGCATAATTTATAAAATATGAATACTAACAAATGGTAACAATAATTCTAAGAATAATTACAAAGTGAAGTTCTTCATGGTAACAATAATTCTAAGAATAATTAAAAATAATTACAAAGTGAAGTTCTTCTGTGAGAAAACGCTGACGGATAAATAAAGGCACTAATGTTTTAGACAAATTACAAGCTTGAAGTTGCAATTATTTTTAAAATGAGCTCTAATTAACGCTGTAATAAACGTTTAGAGCCGGGTTTCACTGTTGACCTGGTATTTCATGCTGTTGTTGTTATATTTTATACCGACTTTTTGGCAGAACCAAGTAACTATTTTGTCCCCCAGGGTTCTTGCCTGGTGTCTCCAGTCTACGTCTGATCCAGGCTGGCTTCTTCTCTCTGACTGTGGGCTGGGATCAGCCTTCGTCTGCGGTCCAGGGCTACAGACTCACCTATGGACTCCGAGGTGAGAACATCATCAGCCGTGATGTTTGATATGTGCAAGACATGTGAAGTTTTTTTTCTCTAGTGTACTAAGATGGAAACGGAAAAAGTTTCCTGCTTTCCTTTTTTTTTTAGACATTAGTCAAACATTTCCTTTACAGTTACATGAACGATGAATCCGTCATAAGTTATTATCATGTCACGAAAAGACAGAGTGAAGGATTACTGTAAAATAAAGGACCTCCGTGTAAATCGTGACTAGATAAACCTTGGTGGCGTGTTGGAAACTTGTAGAGAATGTACCACAGTCATTGTTGATTATGGAGGAACAGTTCCCGAGGCACGAGCTGTCAGTTAACCCTGTGTTACCACCCAGTCATTAGCCCACGAATCAACTACATTTTTATCATCACTCTCAAGATTACACGGTAAAAAAAAAAACCTCTACTTTTGTCACATATCGTCAGCTTTAATTTGTCCTCACATTTCCACAGACAGGGTGTGTCATAGATCATAGCAGTGTCAGGATGTCTCGGTGCTTGTGCCGTGATTCAGTGCAGCTGAGTGTCCCCTCAGGGCTGATATAAACGGTTCTAGCTACCGACTGTGTGGCAGGAGTACCAGTCTCACATGGAGCTCCTCTGCTGACTAGACCAGAGAGAGTATCAGACGAGGTCAGTGTGTGTATCATGGAAGGTGCTCTGTTTCTACCTGTCTAACGTCTGATGGTTGGAGAAGGTGTGAACCTCTGGCACTGACACACAGATACCTGAGCGCATGCAGGACGTGCCTACAATACTGGGCGTCTCCCATATTAATCAAGCTCCTTCCATTAAAAGACTATAAATATATGATTTTTTTTTTTTTGCCCTTGGCCGTACATGCACTGTGCTTTGAGGGAAGTTGCCCTTGGCCGTACATGCACTGTGCTCTGAGGGAAGTTTTCTTTTCTTTTTTTTTGCAGTCTTCTGTTACGTATTTTGTATAATGATTTTTTTTTTTTTTTTGGCTGTTTTGTGTGTTTCCTCTGTACGTGTGTTTGTTTGGGAGAACAGGCCAACCAGCAGACCAGCTGTTGTTCCTGTCTGTTCCCTCCGACTCCACCTCAGCCACACTGCAGTCCCTTCAGCCCGACACGGAGTACGTCATCAATCTCTACCCTCTGTTCCCCCGCAACTCTGCCACTCCGTCCACACTGAACGCCCGCACACGTGAGTCTGAGAGAAATATGTTGGAGCCATATTGTGTTTTATACCGGTGTTTGGGTTTCTCTTTTTCACTGCTGTGTCATGTTGTCACGTACATCAGTGCGCCTGGAGGCGGTGCAGCAGTTATCGGTGGAGACACAATCAGAGGGCAGCGTGGTTTTGCGGTGGGCTGCCGTCAACGGGGCTCGGGCCTATCGTGTGGTCTGGGGTCCATTTACAGGTCAGCGCCGACGCAGACACAGTCAAACACACTGTCGTCTTTCTATTCAGTGTTAACTTTTGTTTCTTCTTCAAACTCCTCTCCTTGTAGGTCAGAGTTTTGAGACGGTGGAAGTCGCCGGTGACATAGTGTTTCACACTTTGTCCAGACTGCAGCCTGACATCGAGTACATAGTCACCATCATCCCCCTGTACGAGGGCAACACTGAAGGCCCTGCAGCCACGGCCAGGTTCAAGATAGGTAGGTACAGCATGCACAGTGGCGGTTCTACAGGGTGGCTCAAAAATAATTAAAAATTAATGTAGGCGAATAAAAAAGATTGTGATTCGAACACGTGTTAAAATTCACTGGCTTTTCAAAATAATTAAATTGTGAACCAGACTTTCAAATTTTTTTTTGCTGTCTCACAAGGATTCATGATTAAAGTGCCGGAACTTAAAAATGGCCTCCTAGTGATGGTTAACATATTTTGCCTAACGAGATAATTGGTTTGTTGGTTTAATCATCAGTCTTTCTGTATGGAGTTTACATGATCTCATTGTGTGTCTGTGTATGTGGGGGGGGGGCGGGGTGGATGAGTGGGGGTCCAGAGGCGTGCTGTATAGAAATGTTTGTTTGAGTCTATACATGTGTCCAGAGGCATGCTGTATAGAAATGTTTGTTAGAGTGTATACATGGCTGTGAGATGGAGGGCAAACTGTTCAAGGTTTACCCCCACCCCCTTGTCCAATGGCTGCTGTGATTTGCCTCCACTCCCCCCGCGGCCCTTTAAAGGATTAGGGCAACCTAAGATGAGTCAATGAAGCTTAAATAAACAAAATGTAGTTTTCTTTATATGAAGGATTTATATGGAAAGACAAGTAACTGAAATGCATGAAAACGTGTTTCAATTACACTTTCTTTTGACACAATAACCTGCAGCCGTCTGCTGGAACACATGCCAGAAAATTCTCTAAATCTGCATTTCTTGCAGTTGTAATTTTTTGTAATTTATGTGCCCAAAAACCGTTCACAAATCAGTCTACAGACCATGATTGTTGATGTCTGCAGCAGAAAGACTGCTACTACAACATAAACACCTTTATTTGAACTGCATAAATACTTTACAGGAAATAAACAAATTTATCAGACCGTCTCCATCTGTACGTCCAGACCTGGTACAGTATTTGTTGATAAGGTCACTAAACACCGTCGGCTCAGTGAGACACTCAGCCAAACAAATAATTGAATCACATAGAAATGGTGAGTCAGTTTGTGTGAACACAGGGATGAAAAGGCTGATGGTAAAGTAATGGATGGTCAACAACTGTTCCTGTAGTTTGTCTTTGCTCTGAATCAGTGACACATGTTACTGTTTAATGCAGCATGGGGAACATTTCTATGACACACACACACACACACACACACACCATCTGTCCATCTGTCTCTGGTGAGTAACAGCCATATGGAGTCACTTCCGTGGGATGTGAGTGAAGGCTGAGTCACTGCAGGGCCACCGTGTTTCCTGGTTTTGCTGTCACTAAGACGTAAAAGTGTGTTTACTACACACCGACCACCGCAGAAACCTAAACTTGACTCGTTTTTTGTTTTGTTTGTTCCTGTTTGAACCAGTGCAGATGTGTTGTGTCTGTAGGTTTTGATTCAAAAGATTTTATATTTCTCCTGAGGGTTTTTTTTTTTTTTTTTTGCTTTTAACCACTCTGCATATGCGTCAGATTTATTTATGATTGTACATTATCTGTGTTATTATTGATCTGTGTTTTCATTGGCCTGTTGGATGTCACATAGGAAATTAAACTATGCTATTTATGGAAATTTATATGAAAGATTTTTAGATTTCAGCTCAGTGACATCACTCTGTCTGTCTGTAATATATAAATACATATGTATTTTTTTTTAGAAATGCAGCTATTGATTATTTTTGCAATTTGATTTTTTTTTTCGATAGCATTATTGTTAATGTCAGTAATCCCCACCATTTTTTATACGAAAAAAAGGTTTGTGACCCCCGACTTTAGACCTTTTCTGACCTTTCGTCTTCATCTCCGTGTGTTTGTTTCTGGCGATCCTAGCGGAACCAATGTTTAGTGGCACTGAATGAACCAAAGATTTGATTCAGGAAAATAGTAAACAAAACATTTTCAAGCTGTGTTTTCATATCCCTCACCATAATGACATAATTGGACTGGAACATGAATTCATCATTCATGTTCAAGCATTTAATCCTTATTTTATAAATATGACATTCTTGACATTTACCAAGAATGTCATATGGAATATGGAGTTAGGGTTTGGTCCATGATCCGTTACACAAGACGTACCTATTATATAACACGACTCTTCCCCAGAGCGTCAGGAGCAGCAGGTCCTCAGAGCAGCCACCACCGGCTCCTCCTCAATCCGCCTCACCTGGAGAATCATCCCGTCCTCTCAGGGGTATCGCCTGGAGTGGAAGGAGGGGGAAGGTGAGACGGTGTTTCCTCACACAGATTAAACACAGTCAGAAATTTAATTCAGTGTTTTATTAATTACACATTTAATAATTGTTTTTAATTCAGATATGACTGGCATAAACATTTTAAAGGTTCAAAGTTACAAGGATTTTGCCTCCATTTAGGTCCAAACATTTCTGAAAGTGTTCCTACTTTTGTTGAATACTGGGGAGTCATTTTCTCAACTGCTCACATCCTGCTTTTCTGCCTCATTTAAGGGCAGGAATTGAGTTTCTTTCAAATGTTTTTGTTTTTGTTTTTTTTTTTAGGAAACCAGATTAGGCAGTATCAAAATTCAAAATCCAAGGGTTTACGTTTTGGTTGGTTACAAATTGGATATTTGTAACCAACCAAATCAAACAAAGCTCAAAGCTTGACTAAGAGTTAATGATAAAACATGTCAACAGCTCAGTGTATTTACATGTTTCAGTTTTTTTTTAATATCAAAGACCTTTTGAAGTGAGAACTTCTTGCAGAACTTTGGGCTCACCCTCCAACCCTGTGTCTCCAGGTGGCCGTGTGCAGAGCTTGTCCTTTCCCAGAGGTACCAGCAGCTACGAGTTAACAGGCCTCCGTCCTAGAACGGAATACATCTTCACCATGTATACCCTGTATGAAGGTCGTGAGGAGGCCACGCCTGTCTCTACCAGCTCCAGAGGTCGGGGATTCTGCCCCAGTTTATTTCCTAAGTCTTTTTGTGGATTTTTTCATTTTTTTCATGAACGTGCACGTCTGTTCTGATGTTGCAGAGGAACAGCCCGTGGGCAGAGTGTCCAACCTGAGGGTTGTGGAGTCTCTGGGCAGAACTGTCAGAATTGGCTGGACAGGTGTAGCCGGGGCCACACAGTACCGCATCATCATCCTGGACACAGATGGTAAAGGGTGATTTCAGCCACCAGTGTAATGGATGGACGTCACGACGGTGCGTTTTTTATGTCTTTATGTTTTTGTTTTTTTTTATCACGTTAGCGGGAACTGAAGAAATAAGAACTGTCAGTGGAAACCAAACGACCCTTGACCTCAGAGACCTGACGGTGGGGGTGTCCTACGGTGTGAGTGTCACTGCACTGGTGGGAGAAAATGAAGGAGATCAAGTCACTGTCTACATAAAACCAGGTGACATGATGGTCATGTGATTCAACACGATAACTTGATGGAATATTTGTCAAACTCTAGGATTAAATATTATTTTGGGAATATTTGGGATTTCCTTTGTTTCAGAACAAAGTGTTGGCAAGGTGTCCAACCTCAGGGTCATACATGCAAACAGTCGGAAAATCCGAATCTCCTGGACCGGTCTGACTGAGGCCACAGGTTACAAGGTCACGTGGAGACAAGGAAACAGTAAGTTGAGCCATTGTTTGAATCATAAAACAAAAAAGTTGTTCAGTGAAGTCTTTTTTTATTTTTTTGACCTAAATTAAATGTCTATCAGCTTATTTTCGTGTGTGTGTGTGGTGTTTGTTTTTTTACAGCAGGGATAGAGCAGTCTCGTCTTCTGGGCCCCGAGACCAGGACCTTTACCATTGACGGTCTTCAACCAGATGGGGACCTGATCATTGGTGTAGCAGTTGTCGTTGGAGAGAATGTCGGGGAGGTAGTGCCTCTGTCTGCTCGGACTAACCCTCATGGAGGATCGGTGTCTGGATTTCGAATTGTAGACGTCACATCTCAGAGGATACGTCTCGCATGGTCCACTTCCTCCAGGGCAACGGGCTATAAGATCACCTGGAGCAGCTCAAACGGCAAGGACTGATTGAAAATATATATTCTTAATTTTTTTTTCTAAACCAAGGGTACCATCAAATAACAATGTGATTGATCTTCACCCTGTGTGCTCACAACAGGAGAAGAAACGAGCCGTATTGTACCAGCTGATGTTTCCTCCTTCACCATCGATGGTCTGCTGTCAGACTCAGCCTACAGCGTGCAGGTTTCAGCCCTGAGTGGTTCTAGAGAAGGAAGCCCCGTCTCCCTGAACATCCGAACAGGTTTCACACGTACACTTTAAGAAAAAAATTCTCTCAGGTTGAACTCTCCCAGATGTGTTAACATTTTTATTTTATCCCTAACTGTAGAATCTGATCAGTCTGTAGTTGGGACAGTGACGTCCCTGCAGGTGCAGGAGGCTCAGGGAGAAGATGTTCGAATCACCTGGGTGGGCGTGCAAGGAGCGACGGCTTATCGTGTTACCTGGAGGAGGACAGATGGTGGGTTTACCTTTGTTTTATACGTCCACAGAATGTTTTTTTTTTCTTATTACTGACAGGCTGCAATAAACCAGCGTTATTTCATTTTTTATTTCGCTGACTGATATTTTTGTCGACTGAGTCAGCAAAAGACTAAAGATAACTAAAGCTAACCTGAATGTTGCTCCACTACAGGAGGCGAAGAAAGGAGTCGGCTGGTGGCGGGAGACGTGACTTCCGTGGATTTGGACCGCCTGGAACCCGGAGCACAGTATGAAGTTCAGGTCATGGCTTTGGTTCAGAACAGAGAGGGATCTCCTGTATCTGTCAGAATCACCACACGTAAGTCCCATCTTGATGAATGATGGACTCCTTAACTGTAATTCCTGGAGAGTTGTCAGATTTTCTAATCCCATCTTGATGAATGATGGACTCCTTTAATGTAATTCCTGGAGAGTTGTCAGATTTCTTAAAAAATAATATATGTTAAGAAAATAATAAGGTGTTAAAGCATAAACGATTTCATAAATAATGTTGGGGTTGAATTATTTGTAGAAGGTGAATCCTCTTGGTTCCATCTTATTCAAAAAAAATAATATATGGTAAAAAAAATAATGTGTTAACGCATAAACTACTATTTCATAAATAATATTGGGGTTGAATTATTTGTAGAAGGTGAATCCTCTTGGTTCCATCTTATTCAAAATATTCTGCATAGTTTGTTAACAATGTTTTTTTTTTGCATTATTATACAAAATATAAATATTAAAAAGCCAATGTTGAAAAATGTCTACATTGATATAATTGTTGACCATGTCCTCTTGTCATGTTTTCAGCTGGTACAGATACTTCTCCACTACCTACAACAACGTTGCGAGTAACAGAGGTTACCCAGGATTCAGTGCGGTTAGACTGGTTCCCACTTCAAGGTGCCACAAGATATATTGTACGCTGGAAAGAGGAAACGGGTAAAAATAACTTCTTTCTTTCTTTTTTTACCTTTTCGCTTAATCATTTTTGAATGATTTTAAACCATTGTCTGAGAGTTGTGTAAAATCTGTGCAGTTTAAACACATTCTACATCAGTTCAAGCTGTAAAGAGCCTTTGACCTCGAGACAAATGTTTCCTCTTGGTAAATTACTGCAGACAGAGGTGAAGGCTTGTCTGTGTCACTGCCTGCGTCGTCCAGCTCCTACCTGGTGAGCGGGCTGCGTTTAGGACGACGATACCGCTTCAGCGTCCAGCCTGCTTTTGAACGGGGACTGGGAACAGAGAGTGCTGTGGATGAACACACTGGTAACAGAACCCTGTCATCTCATCTGTGTCAGGTCCATAAACACCGTCTTCAATAGTTTTCTTACAGATTTCCACCTCTGTCCACAGTGTGTGTGAACGGGCGTCTGGATGTGGTGTTTCTGGTGCCCGCGTCCACTGATCGGTCCAACCTCGCAAGACCTCTGCGTGAACTCCTGACCAGTGCAGTCAGGTCATTAAACACCTTTGGACCCCGTGACTCACAGGTACTTCTTAAATCTTATAAAAACAGCTCGTGGATAATGGTAGCCTCTGCTTGGTAATTTTTTTTGTAGTCGTCCACTGATTGTTGTTTCTGGTTTCCTGTTTAAGGTGGGAGTTGTAGTTTATGGTTACAGACCAAAAACATGGTTCCTGCTTAACCGCCACAGCAGATTAGACACCCTGCTCCAAGAGATCCAGGCCACGCCCTTTGATGAAAGCCGAGGAAATAACATGGGTCCGTTTTCTCTGTTTGTCTGTTGGATTTTCCATCTCTTCGTTAGCACATTTGACTTATTCTTAACTGCTCATTATTCTAATGAAATCCTTGCAGGTGAGGCCATGGCCTTCGCCGGACAGTATCTTCTGACCACGTCAGCTGGACGTAGAACCAATGTCCCTGGTGTTGTTGTTGTTATTGCTGACAAACAGTCAGCTGACAACCTTACACCAGCAGCCGACGATCTCCGAGCTACAGGTACATCGAACACACTCAGAAATGAATACACATCTAAAATTATATTCAACTTTATCTGCCGTTGAAAATAGAGCTGAAATACAATCAGGAATATTTTAATTTTGCAGTTAACAGCCTGTTGTTCTGTCTTTAATTAACACAGCCCAGTAGAGGTATGCGAATACCTGATTTTATACTTTTTTTTTTTCTACGAGAGCCATTAAAATTATATTCAACTTTATCTGCCGTAGAAAATAGAGCTGAAATACAATTAGAAATATTTTAATTTTGCGTATTTTATACTTTTTCTTTTCTGTGACAGTCAAGGGCGAAGGAGATGTTTTATGTTGTACTGCACTTGTAATAATAATTTGGGCGATATATTTGGAGGAAACAGCAACTAACAACTGTCCTCATAACATGTCAACTTTATCGGTGTTGGATCATATGGTTTTACTGCTCGATTTCTCCTTTTAATCAAAAACTAACTGTGTCTTCCTGTCAGGTGTCACGGTTTTAGCCGTGGGTATCGAGCAGGCAGACACCGAGGAGCTACGTCGAGCTGTGACAGACGGCAGCACCCAGAACATTCTGTTTACACGAGATGCAGCACAGCTGTACTCATTACACAGTGATCTGGCAGATTTGCTGTGCGGAATCGCCCGAATACCAGCGGTAAGAATAGAGCAATAGAGACACTAAGATATTATTTTAGGGTTAGTTTTTTTTTTTTTTTTAAATGACATGTGTTACTGCTTTGCCACAAATCAAGCACTTATTTTATGATATAAATACATGTTAAATGTTGGTGATGACATTTGAACATGAACATGAACGACAGTAGAATCTAGTTGTTATAACAAACAAGAATATGAAACAAACATAAATCAGAGCATTTACTGTGACTGATGAATGTTATTATTGTAACCACGTGTGTTATCATCAGATGCATAACTACTCATCCCAACGTTTCTGTCTCAATATTCCAGGGGGGTCCAAGGCCACAGCAGTGCACTGTTCAGTGTCCACAGGTGAGTTCTTTGACTGGGATTTTAAACTGTTTGATTTTTTTTCTTCCTTTCGTTTTGAAACAACTCTCCTTTCTCACACCCTTTAGGGAGAGAAAGGAAATCGTGGAGATAAGGTACTGTGCAGAAGATGAGCAGTTTTAAATTCGTCCTCTGGCGTTATGTATTTGTGATATTGTTTTTTTGTTTTTGTGTGTTTGTCTCTAAAGGGTGAGCGAGGCAGAGATGGAGTAGATGGACGCAAGGGAGAGTCTGTACGTCGTGAAGCCATTGTTTAATTTCTTATTGTTAATGTAAATAAGAGTTAATTGTTTTTAATTACATGTGTTTGTCTGTGTGACAGGGTCGTGATGGTTTACCTGGGAGAGAAGGTCCACGAGGCCCTGAGGGACGACCTGGACCACCAGGACAGAGTCACCCGTTTGAACCCTCAATCGGGGTTAAGGGAGAGAAGGGGGAGAGAGTGAGTGCAGCTGTCACCACAGCAAACTCATTATAATCTCCTGTATATAATATCATACAGAAAAAAACTTGTTTAAAAAAAAAAAAAAAGAAGTATAAAGTTTTGTTTTTTCTTCAGGGATTTCCCGGTATTGATGGAAATCCTGGGTTGCCGGGACGACCTGGTGCCCCAGGAAGTGCAGGAGTCCCAGTGAGTACGAATCACAAAAGCCCTAAACAGGGCAATGATGGTGCAACAATGTAGCACGAACCATAATGTTAATGATTTTTTATGTGTTTCCCTTGTACAGGGTTCACAGGGCCTTCCTGGGAGCAGAGGAACCTCAGTGAGTCCTGGGATCAGTTGGTGTTTTCAATCAAACACCTGTGCAGTCCTAACTTCTTTTTTTTTTTTAATGGATAAATTTAGGGTGAACCAGGTTCAACAGGGCCTCAAGGACCGAAGGGTGACAGAGGTGAAAGGGTGAGATTGGTTTTAAAATGATGCATCATATTTAACATATTGTGTGTTTGAGCCAATAAGTCATAAAAATATATATTTTTTTATTTTTACTCTAGGGTGAACCAGGCTCTTCCATATCTGGAGGAGGTCTTCCAGGGAGGAAGGGAGAACCAGGCATCCCAGGAATACCGGTGAGGAAGAGCCTCATTCACTATTGTGTGCAGAATTGCTTCTACTCTTTTTCCATTTTATAACAATCGTCTAAGCTGCGATGAGGGGGTGAGGGGGGGTAAAACGGAAGTAAGAAATAATTTGGTGCAATAAGAAAAACGCATTAAAGCAGAGGAAGTGGAAAGAAAAGAAATCATCACAGATTAACTGTGTTTGACCCTTTACTTCTGCAAATCTTTAAAGTCTCAAAATTACACTTTAACATCATAATCAGTAATGTTTTTGTTTTGTTTTTTTTCCATTCAGGCTACTCCAGGTCGGCCAGGCAGTGATGGGGTCAAAGGAGAGCGTGGGTTACCGGGCTTACCAGGTCAGGATGGTCGTTCTGGAATCCCAGGATCCCCAGGTCTCGGTGTTAAGGTCTGTTCCCTTTCACATTTTCTGGTAGTTTGGAAAATAACGTTTAAAACGTCCTGTATTTTATCTTCCAAGCTGCAGTGACATCTACTGATCAGAAAAAAAACAGGGAATCTAGGCATGTGGTTTCTTTTGCCTCACCTGCAGGGGGTGCTGTGCGTTACAGTAGTGCAATGGTCTATGAGCTGAGCAAGCATGATATAACATGATCAGTGTTTTATAAGTTGTTCATCTAATGTTGTAACATAGTGTTAAGTCTTTCCCAGAGTATAATCTGTCAAGAAAAGATATGAAAAATGAAGAAAAGATGGCAATTACTGTCTCTACAGAAAAAAAACAGTCCTGTGAACAATTAAAAAGGGCGCATTGTTTCAACAAGTTTAAATAGTGCAGTTTTTAGTGTAGAGTTGACAGGATAACTTAATAGTATCATGCAGCCTTTCTGAGTTCTTGAAAATGAAACTGCTATTTTCAGAAGTGCACACTTGGGGGTAGCATTGAGCCACTTGATTTTTTTCAGCAAAATTTTAAGCATTTACTCATGATGTCAGATGTCAGTGTTTTTATCTTGATGTCATATATATGTATATGGTAAAGGAGTGTGTCTATATATATATAAATATATATTTATTAAAGGGTATATTTACAATATATTTTAAGTTGCATAATATTTTTTTAACAATTTAAGTTCTGTTTATTCTTGGCACTTTTTGTCATATTTTCTATTACTAGGTTTGAATGACCATGTTAAAAAAAAGTGCTGTTGTTTTTAAATGAGGTAATCCTCCTGTTGGCACAGTAATGAGCATCATTCTCTGTCTCGCTCTGATTCGTCTTCTGCAGGGAGACAAGGGCAGCCCAGGGGAAAGGGTGAGTCACACTGTCACCTCCATGTCCTGCCGCCGCAGAAATATCCAGAGCAAGCAAATACCATGCATAATGACTCTCAGCCCTTATCTCTCCCCACTGACAGGGACCTCCAGGAGTAGGCAGCGGGGTGGCCGTGAAGGGCGAGAAGGGTTCCCCAGTAAGCATTGTCAATCACTGCAGATGTGCTGACATGTTGTGTTTGCAGATAAACCCTGCATGTATGTGGGGCCATGTTTTGCATTTGCTAATTGGCTTTTTTACTATCAGGGTTCTCCAGGACCTCCAGGGACTCAGGGTGCTAGAGGGCTAACAGGACCACAGGGCAGCAAAGGAGAGAGGGTAAGTGCGGAGTGATTCGGTGTAGGAGGAGGTTAAACGTGCGCCGGGTTTATTTTAATGAATACGTTGTTGTTGTTTGTCAAGGGTGACGGTGGTGACGGACTTCCTGGACCTCCAGGCAAGCAAGGAGAGCCTGGTGACAGGGTAGGCAAAAATTCACATTTGGAAGAATAAATCTACACATGACAAACTAAGTGACATAATGTGAACTATCTTGATTTTTTTTTTCACCCTTTTTTATACTACTTATGTCTGTTTGTCACTAAAATCTGTCATTTAGATTTATATATTTACTGATAAATACATATGTCACAGCCAAATTAGAAATATATATAAAATGCACATGTTTTTTTAGGGTCCTCGTGGTCCTCCAGGAGAAATAGGCAGCAAGGTGAGTTAAATGTAAAATAAACAAAATGGCCTTCAATGTGAAGTGAAGAGGAAGACGTGACCTGTGGTACTGGGTGTTCTGATAGGGCGACCGAGGACAGCCGGGAGAACCAGGATCACAAGGAGACAGGGTGAGTCACGTGACCACAGTTGATGGACTTCATAACTCCAAGTCACTGTCGACCAATAATTATCATACCACGTTAATGTGTTTGCAGGGAGAAAGAGGTCCAACTGGAGAAACTGGAGAAAGAGTACGTAAAGCAGTGATTTTGTTTTTATTCGTACTATTTTGATAAGTATAATTATTTGTAATATAATTTGAATTTCCACAATAACCTTGTGTCTCCAGGGGGATCCAGGGAAGCCAGGCCTCATAGGCCCAGCAGGGTTAAGAGTGAGTCACTGATTGTTGTGACGTACAGACGACAACAACTTGTCTGTGTTTTCACATTTGAAGTCTGATCTGACTTTCATTTGTTCTCAGGGTTTACCTGGACCCACTGGGCCAACAGGAGAAAAGGTGAGGCCGGATTATCCAGGTGTGATCTTGATAAGGTCAACAGGTCAACTGGAATGTGATGCTATCGCAGAACCTTCCTGATCTGAGCTAATGAAGCTCTGAGCAAAGATAAAAGAGAGTGACTGTGTTTGTGTTTGTTCTCAGGGAAGTGACGGAGCGAGAGGAGAGCCCGGCAAAAGCGTGAGTCCTCAGATGAGAAACCTATCAGTGTGTCCTAATTAAAATCTGTCATTTAATTTGTTTGAATACAGTTTTATCAGTGACTCTGTTCTGTTATCACATTCATGCAGACTCCAGGTTTTCCAGGAAAGAAAGGTGAACCGGTAAGATGTTCATTTACTTTTACTTTGACAACTCAGTTCTGTCAGTGTAATGATCCACATTGGAAGGTTGTTCCTTTTTTCCTGGTCTATAACAGGGCGACCGAGGTTTACCTGGTCCTGATGGCCAGAGGGGAGAGAAAGGAGACGCTGGACTAAGGGGGGAGAAAGTGAGCATTAACTTGACAACAGTATTTTAGACATAATAATATGTAAAATGTTTGTAGCAAAATTTATACAATTATTCTTTTGATTTTTCAAAGGGGTCTCCAGGGTCAAGTGCCATAGGCACTAAAGGGGAACATGGAGAGAAAGTGAGTTTGACTGAACAACAACACTATCATTATGACAAAAGACAAACAGTAATTGCCGCCGTGGTCAAAGTTTGGCTGTTTCTCTTCCAAAACTGCACAAATATTAATTCATTATTCCTGAATATAAACCGTCAGCGTCTGCAGTCCTAAAAATCCTCGCACTGAAAATACATAAAACATGTGCTCCTACCCTCAGGGACTTCCTGGGGTCAATGGAAGACCAGGTGCCAAGGTGAGAGGCCTGCCCTGCTATACTGAATGTGTCTGTTTATTTTGTAACTATTTTTAGTCTTAAACTGGTCTAAATCCTCTGCAGGGAGATTCTGGAGAACCGGGGGAGAGAGGAGAGAATGGGCGTCCTGGACTTCCAGGAAAGCCTGGTCTTCCAGGAAAGGAGGTCAGAGTTAAATACTGTATATAGGATTACACAGTTGAGTCTTGACTCTCTGTCTTATTCTCTACCTTAATTAGGGTCTCCTGATTAGATTTGCATACACCAAGTATGGCAGTGTCACTGATGCAGTAGTATTCATTAATATTTACCATAGTGGTACAAGAGGGTATCAATTATGAACCCTAACTCCTTAAGATGATATATATGGTTGACAAAGTTGGCAAAAACATTTGGTTTTGGAGAAAATCGAGAGAAAAATATTCAAGAATGTAGCAAGAATGTAAGTCAAAATATGAAGTTACTTGCGTAGAAAAAGAAAAAAAAAATGCTAGCCTTAATCGGCCAAATCCGAGCCAAAAATAAAGTTAAAGTTAACAAGACCTACATTGTTCAAAAGGTGGCGCTAAAAAAAACAAAACAAAGCAAAAACACTATTGGACAAAACACTGTTCCAATAAACTTCAAAAGAGCCACAATTTAGCCAAACGTCATAACTTAGCTTTGGTGAATTGGCAAAATGTTTGCCTGGAAGAATTCTGAAAGAATATCAAAATGCTTAAGGTCAGCCAGCATGGCCAAGTGTTTAAAAAGGTAAACTTTTTAATACCTGAGACGTAAGATTAAGTGTATAAAATGCAACAAAATGAGTAGTAATGTTTACATTACTGGATATGGGATAATGTTGTATTTCTGTGTCGTTTTGCTACATTCAATAATGAAACGTCGCCCAAAGCCTTTTTTCTGTTGCTCTTTCCAACATGCATCTCTTTTCAAAGATGTCCCAGTGAAGGTAATATTTCACACACTATGGTGATGGGGATATATTCTCCTCTCCATTTTATCTGTCTGACCCTCCGCTCGTCTGATGTATGTCCCGAAATGTGATGTCGCTGATGTTTCCTCCCGGATGAATTCGATGAATAATTCATGTTTGTATTTACAGGGAGAGCGAGGGGAAAAGGGTGATGAAGGCACTCCCGTATGTATGAGCTCTCCTCACCATCTCCTCTGAAAACCACTATCATTTCCTCTTTGTGCGAGAAAATCACTCTAAAACCATTTATTTACCACTGCTCTTTCTCATAACTGAGAAGTGAGTGTTTATATATGGTCATTAGCCTGGAGAATTCACTGCCGGGTGTCATTTATAAACATTTATTTATTTTTTATACCAGGGAGAATCTGGACTTCCTGGAAAGCCGGGAGAAAGAGGATTGAGGGTAGGACCTATTTCTCTGGCACATTTTTAAGCCATGTTTTTGTTTTGTTTTTTTTCTTTTACTTCAAATTTACCTCAAATACATCAGTAGGAACCTCATCTAACAGACACTATCATTGATCACCCTCAGGGACTGAGCGGTCAGCACGGGCGTCCAGGAGAGAAAGGCGACGTCGGAGACCCCGGAGAGCATGGGCGGAATGTGAGACACATTTTATGCATCAGTGGCCAGACAGTTTATCAATATGATGTTGTGTTATTCCACTGAGGCCTTGAGAGGAGAAACACTGAGGAAGGTCATTTGTTCAGCATCTCCATTGATCTATAACAGGGCAGCCCCGGACCCGCAGGACTGAAGGGAGATAAAGGAGCGCAGGTCTGTTGATGTCTGTTTATATTCATTTATTTTACTTTGTCCTGTCGGTGCTGATAGTGGATTTACACACTTTTCTTTTTTTCTTTTTTTTTTAAGGGCCTTCAAGGACTTCCAGGAGCACCAGGAAAAGTGGTAAGTAAATGAACACAAATAAGTACTAGACTGCATCAGATTAGATTACAGGAGATTAATAGATTCATTAAATTGGATTTTAAACCTATATTACAGAAAAGTGAGTCTAACTTTGCAGTGCACTTGAACTTGAAGTTCAGGGTTGAGCCCCGTCAAATTACGGTAATGCAGTTTGTAAGATAAACTCATTTAGAAATTAGTTCCCTCAGGTAAAGAGAGTGTGTTTTTCCTCCACTCCCCCTTTTTTTTGTAAGAGCGATCAAGGATACCGATCGTTTTAGCGTTGGATCTAAAAATATTTCCTAGTCTTCCTGCACCAGAGACTCATTTACTGTCGCATGGTCCTGGTTTTAAAGAAGACATTTTTACACAGATGCCTGGTTTGTTTCCCTGGGGTGTCACCCATGTGACTCACACCACCCCACGTTCACACCTTCAAATGTGAAAATAAGACTTTTTTTCACCTCTAATTCTGATCCTCCAGTTATAAACACGACAAACATTTACAACAAGTTATAACAGAAGATCTGCTTTAACATTCAACAACAACAGCATCACCTGCTGGGCTGGACTGAGACAACAGACACTTTCAGAAACAAAGACAGATCTTCACAGCACACACACACACACACTTGATGCTGCAATATTTCCATGCAATAGACATCATGTGCTTTGAGTGACAAGACTCTGTCTGATGTAAGACACCAGTAATCTCAGCTCTGCTCAATATGTACCTACTGTACACAGAGCTGCTAAACTGGCTGTTCTGTCCACAGTAACATGATGAACGTTACCGTACAGTACGTTACAGTGCAAGTAAAATGTTGGGGCTAAATTTTTAGGTGAAGTTCGTGGTGTTTTTTTTGGGGGGGGGAGGGAGCTTTATTAAGTTGGATTTACGTGGGTGAATATTTCACGTGCTCAGTGAGTTTTCATCATGGGCGTGGATTTACTGATTCTCTCCAGACTTTTACTGAGGTTGTTGCATGGTGATAGAAGTAGTTGTATTTAGTTTTTTCAAGTTAAGATTGTTTTTATATTTTACAAAATTACTCAACAGTTAAATCTTTGCACCAGATGTCAGATTTATGAGGTACGATCTTGTTTAAAATAAATAAATAAATAAATCTGCGACGCAATTACTGTTTAATGTTGTGTGTGTCTGTTTGAAGAAATAAGCGTGTCATGTCGTAACTGAGTTAGTGAAAGGACAAATGAGCTTTAAATGTGTGTTGTCTTCTTTCAACAGGCTGAGCTTCAAGGGCAGCTGAAAGGAGTCAAAGGAGATAAGGTTTGTACGCAGTAGCATCACAGTGACATTATTATTTCCATGTTAGTAGAGAACACATTTTAACAGTGGGGAAAAAAAATAAAAATGAGGCGACACTTCTTGAGCGTCTTGCGTCATTGTGAATCCAGGGTGACGCTGGCAGCCCAGGAGAGCAAGGCGGGAAAGGTCAGAAAGGCGAGGCGGGAACTCCTGGAGCCTCAGGCCTGCGAGTGAGTTTACCGCATAGTCACATTTTGCATCGTAGAAGCCACTGTACACAGCATTTGTATTCATGCTGACCTCTTCCCCTGGTGATTTATTTATTATGCATGACTGATGATCTTTGCGACTCCCTGTCCTTTCCCTGCTGTCTATAAAGGGTCCTGAGGGACAGAGGGGGCCTGCAGGCACAAGAGTACGTTTGTTTTTCGTCTGCTCACAAGACTGCACTCAATGTTTGAGTTATTTTTTTTTTCCGTTTTACAATTTGATCTAATCTTTACCACGGACATTTCCAGGGTGACACAGGAGACAGGGGGACACCTGGAGAGAAGGTAAGAAATCTGTCCACTGATGATTGAGTTGATGTGAAAAGTATATTTTTACCAATACTGAACCAAACCTTTTTCAGAAGTGAAGTCATTTAAAGTGTGTTGACTTTAAAAACTTTAAAGTTTTTTTTTGACTGAAGCATTTAAACATAGATTCTGTTCACAGGTTAAAATAATAGATAAAAAGTAAATATTCAGAGTGCAAGGATCAATAAATGACAGATGTTATGTCTCCTAACTTAAATCTCTGTCCTGTGTCAGGGAGAAAGAGGAATCCCTGGGTTGGATGGACGTCCAGGTCTGGATGGTAAACCAGGTGTTGCTGGACCACCTGGGCAGAGGGTAGTTCATTTTTTTTTTTCTTGTCTACAATTTGTCTTAAACTATTAAAATAGTCTGTGTTCAAAAGTGGAGATTGGAGAGTTTTTAGTACCATGTTCAGTTATGTCTGTGTTACAGGGTGATCCTGGGAAACAAGGCGATCCTGGAAGAGACGTGAGTCTACATTTATAGTCTTATCACAGCAGCTTAAAAAAAAAAACAAAAACATACCATTTGTCCCCGAGAGTTTTCTGTTGGTATGTGTTATTTATCATTTTCATTTACTTAGGATTTTCCTCCCTCTTTTCCCACTCATAACTCCTCTTCCTCTCTTTATACGTCTCTATTTCTCCCTTTTTTTTCTAACCCTCTTTCTCTGCATGTCTCTCTTTCTTTTAATCTTCCCCGTCACAGTCACGTTCATGATCACTGAGACAGGATTGCAGTGCTCTCTCTTTAATTGCAGTTGCGTTGCGTGCACTTTAATTGTGCATGCTGCAGATGGAGCCATGGAGATGTTAGAATCTCAGCGTCTCTCTTGCGGCTCGTTATGTAAGATGGAGAAGAGAGAATTGTCTTCAGGACATTTTCTTTTTTTTTTTTTTTACAGCGTTATCTTAAGTTGACCTTATTAAGGATTTTATATCCACAGCATCATAATGACTTTTTGATTACTCTTTTTTAACCAATGTTCCTAAGATTGACATTTATTTTGATGAACAACAAGAATAAAACATTTATTTTTTGTGTTTCTCTTTAACAGGGTTTATCAGGACTTAGAGGTGAACAGGGAATTCAAGGACCTGTCGGGCCCCCAGGAACCCCGGGAACGCCTGTAAGTACATGGCACATTAAGCAGAAAATTGTTATTAAACCATGTGTGATAAACTGATTTTACCTACAATATATATATATATATATATGTATATATATATATATTGTTTTTTTTACCCTGTGTCATGGTCAATGTTATGTTTCAGGGTAAAGCCGGTGAAGACGGCAAACCTGGAGCTCCTGGAAAAATGGTATTTTACTGTTTTTGGCCAATAAAAATCATTATATCTCATTATATTGATCATCATTTATTAGGTAAAAGTATGAATTTATGATTGTCTTTCATGTAAGTGATAACTTCCTTGTAAAAGTAGCAAGAACTTTAATGTAATGCAGTATATTGGCTGCACACAGCAGAACTTTAAAGCTGGTTACTGATTTGTCACAGTCCTCTTCCTCCTCCTCCTCCTCCTGCTCTGGTTTACTTGCCTGTATTTTGTGATGCATTTTTTTTTCCTGACATACAGGGTGAAGACGGAGTGCCAGGAGAAGATGGAAGAAAGGTTTGTGGCTGTTTACCAAGTCTGCACAGATCACCTTCGAGATCCGTGCAGACTTTACCTGAAGCAACATCATTTTGATATATCTGTACTGGGCATATGTTCAACAAAACAACACGTTTTATGACGTAAATTAATGAGGGACTTGAGGCTTTATTCCCTGCCTCCTTCCTTGTAATTTAATATTATATATCTTTCTTTTTTTTACAGGGTGACAAAGGAGATTCGGGATCAGCTGGAAGAGATGTCAGTCTTGTCACCTGTCCTTCATTTTATTACTGTTTTTGTCTCCTATTTGCCACAACCTGCCCCATCTCAGCCCTTCTGTCTATATCGATCAATCCTTCCTTCACGTTATTTCATCACACATCAGCCTTTTTTTTTTGGCCTTTATTTCCTGATCCTCCGCAGCTCTCCCACGCTCCAATGCGTAGTTATCAGCTGTGGCGTGCTCTGACATTGACATTACCATCACACCATCACCCACTGCACAATCAATAGACTTCTCAGAAGCGGCCGTACAAATTCACCGGCTTCTAATCATCGAGCTTAGCCTTTTAGGAGAGCCACTTCTGAGAGAGATCCAAAGGAGCACCAAATGTCAGCGTGCTGTTCTCATATACAAAGTCTTATTAATTATCTTTAGAACATCGACACAGGGTTGGCAGCAGCCACCTGCTTTGATTTTATAGTTCGGTCCTCACTAATGCACAGGCAGCACTAACCCAGTGTCAAGAGAGTCTCAGTGGTGCAATTGCATATTTTCCAGGGTCACGATGGGCAGAAAGGAGACCGAGGAGCTACTGGACCTGTGGGCCCTTCTGGACCTCAAGGGCAGCCTGGAGTACCTGGTATCATTGGGCCCCCTGGACAGGTGCACAGAATGGGAACACATTCAATATAGTTCTTCAAATCTGTCATTTTATTCATTTTTTAAAAATTTCTCCTTCATGTTTTTTTGACATTCTGCATCTTCTTTCTGTTCTTTGATTTGTTGTTTTTTTAAGTTATTATTTTTGAATAAAATTTGTATTTTACAATTTAGGCAATGATAGATTTACAGCGTTTGAGGAGCCGATATTATAATGTTTTATCAAGTATAGCTGAGATGGTCATATGTCTGAGGATTATAGTTATGAAGGGTGGACAATATACAATAACCTAACACTTTACTTTAGTCGTGAATGTAAGCTTTTATCAAACAAAAAGACAAAACAAGAAGGATGATCTCTAAAGTGGAACAGTTGCTAAAGGAAAGGATTTAGAATGTATTGTCTTTATAGGACTTACTTTAAGACGTTTGACACCATTTATTTTCAGGTTGTCTATGTAAAAGGAGTTGAAGCTGCACCAATACCTGGAGTACAGGGGCCTCCAGGAACTCCTGTGAGTCGTCACTGTTACAATTTTAATAAATGTAAACGTTCTGTGTTAAACCCATTCCCTTAAATCTTGTTATTTCTGCACGGCAACAAAAGTCACTGGATTATTATTTGTCACATAATTGTTCTGAACTCCTGATATCACTGCTGTTTCTCGCCCTTCAACACAAGCATTGCCCCAATGTGTCTTCCATCTCCACGTATTTGTTCTTATCCCACCAACATCTTATCAATGTCCTTGCTCTGTCTTCAGGGCGTCCCTGGAATCCCGGGAGCCGTAGGAGCCAGAGTGAGTTGTTGTTGTCGTTTTTTTTTTTTTTTTGTCGAGGGTTTTCTGTTAACCATTTAGATTGTTTGATGGTGTTTTAATATCATTTTCTCCAGGGTGAAAGAGGTTCTCCTGGACTTAAGGGAGACATTGTAAGTTTATCACCAAATCTCGGCTATACAGTTAAAATGAATGAAAGTCTTTGATGACACTTTGATGTCTTTTTATTGACAGGGAGACCCAGGAGAGGACGGAGCCCCGGGCAAACCCGGGACGCCGGTGGTAAGTCATCACCGTGTCACTTGTGATGACCAAGCTGTGACTTATGACTGACTTTATTGCCGGTGTTCTTTATTGGTGTTGAGTGACACCTCTCTATTTGTTTCACCAGGATGTACAGAAAGCTCTGGCCAACCTTGGTATCCAGGTGAGTGGGTTTGATTTGTAGGGTAGTTCTAGATTCACCGCAGTATTTAAGTATTTATTTAAGTACCAGGACTCTTTTCTTTTTACATACTGGAACGTTTTTTTTTTTTTTTTTATTCCAAAATTCTGCGTCCCAACACATTTCCAAGGTAAATAAAAAGATAAATATAATGGTTCCTGAACCCGGAACCTTTCAGCAGAGCCCACTCCTCCTTGTCAACACTTTGCCTCAGGACTTTCCTTAATTTTATCTGAAATATTGAAGTTCACACAAAACTACTTTTTTCATTGGACAGAGGAAATAAATTGACTAATCAGCTTGACATAAATTTTAAAATTCACCACCACTCCTCTGCACTCGTTTGATCTGAGGAGATCCCAGCTACACATTTTGAGCCAAAATCAAGTCGTTCCCGTCGTCAGAGATACAGTCAACCACGGAGACATTTATTCATTTATTCTGTCAACCGTTACCCCTGTCAACATTCATCCACGAGCCATAAATTACACAGAACTGTGGATGTATTGTTATTTATGACGTCTGGTTTTGTGTGTCTGGCCATTAATCACATTTCCTCTCGATGAAGACTCTTTGGACCATGGACATGGTTCTATTTTTAGTTCAGGTCATGTAATAAATATATTATATAAATATATTGTTTGGGTCATTGGTCACCCTCATTAAACCAAGGAAATGTACTGTACATATATCCAAACATTTGTGTTGTGTTCTGTCGCTGAAACTAGTGTCAAGTGTTTTGTCTGTTTATCCTTGTGTCATCTCGCAGTTTACAGTTTTCAAATTTATGTTGCTGTACATCATGTTTAGCCGCCTCCTGTGTCACATGTTTAATTAGTTCCAAACAGAGCTGCTGTCAGATGGATTTTGTTTATGGCCGTTTATGGCTCTTTGTTTATTTAAGTCTAAAAGCAAACTGACAAACTGCAAAGACCGCAGAGAGATTCACCAACGGTGCTGCTGAGAAATTTTGTCAGAGACGTAGACCAATAATAATCAGGGACCTATACTGTATGTTCTCTCGTTCAACTGTTACTTTTTTTTGCCCAGGTTTCTGATTTGAAGGTGGTTGTGGACAAAAAGGATGTTTTTGCAGCTCCTGCACTTCAAAAACCAGAGAAAGGAGAAAAGGGAGACAGAGGGGAACAAGGACAGAGAGGCCCGTCTGGGCAAGAGGTGACGTCTGATTTTAATCATTCTCAGAATCATTATAATGATTTGCGCTTAAGATGTCAAAATGAAAAACTAACTAAAATTGAAACGTTAACAATGTCAACTGTTTGGAGATTAAATAGTGCATTGAATTGTGCTGTTTGTCTAAAAGCTCTACTGTGCAAGTATTAAGAAAAGTCTATCTATATTTTTAATATTATTTATTTTAACTTTTACGTTTCATTGATATGTTGTCTAATATTATGAGTGTCTGATGATTTTTTTTAAATTTATAACAAAGACTTGACTTAAAATAGCCAACACTGCCACCTATATGACACATCGGTCCAGTTCATTGCGTATCTATTGAAACCTTACATAATGTAGTATTGGTATTGGCACTGAAAATATGAAAATACTTGTATCACTATGTAAAAAATACAATCAGGACAACTCAAATTTAAATGCTAATAAATTATATTTCTATATTTCTATTACCCCTGTTTAACCACCAGGGGCCTCGTGGTTTTGCCGGAGAGAGAGGAACAAAAGGAGATCAAGGGGATCGGGGTCCAGTGGGACCAGCAGGTCCTCCTGGACGAGCGATTGGAGAACGAGGCCTCGAGGGACCCCCCGGACCTGCAGGAGAGTCTGGAAAGCCAGGTATACCTGGTGTACCTGGACGAGCTGGAGAACTGGGAGAGGCCGGAAGACCAGGTGACAAGGTACAAGGAACGACCAGGTGTAAGGTTTTTCTTTTATTTATGGGACACCGCATGACTTCATGTGTTTGTGTTTGTTTCAGGGCGAGCGGGGTGAGAGAGGTGAAAAAGGAGAGGCTGTAAGTGTTTCAGACTGATGTCATTTATACTTTTTAAAAAACATATTTTCATTCAACTAAGGATCGCTGTTTGTTCTTAAATTAAAGGGGAAAACTGGCCTATCAGGGCCCGCCGGTCCTCAGGGTCAAAAGGTAATCTGCCTTTGTCCGTGTTGGATATCATAGAGTGAATATTGCTGCAAAAATGGAGTTCAAATGCCGTGTTGGATATCATAGAGTGAATATTTCTGCAAATAGTACATTGAGAATATTGTGCTCTAGGGAGAATCTGCTGATTCGGTGCTGGTTGGTACGCCTGGAGCCAGGGGTTCTCCAGGGATAACAGGACAGAAGGGGGAGCCTGGAGCATCTGGACCACCAGGACCCAAAGGAGACAGAGTAAGATTTGAACTTAATGAGAATAAAAATGGACTTGGTGCGTGAGTCAAAAAAAAAAAAAAAAAGTCCATTTCAATGTGTCCTGAAGGGTTTCATGGGACAGAAAGGTGATAAAGGAGACAGAGGAGACACTGGAGAAAAAGGACGGGATGGATCAGATGTGAGTTTGAGATGCAACTTGAAATGGGAGCAGTGATAACAAGAAAAATGATGGCACCAACATTGATGAAATATGTTTAGTAAAATCTACTTTATTTACGTTTGTAATGTGCGATTTGTAATTCCAGGGATCACCAGGCGAACCGGGAAAACCTGGTCAAGATGGGAAATCGGTAAGAACTGAGATAAAAAGTCCTAACTTATTGAAAAGATTCCACACTTCCATTAAAGATGCATGGGCTTAGAAGGATGGACGGAAGCTGGATGGATGATGGATGGATGGATGATGGGCAAATGGATTTTAAAAATGATATTCTTTTGTTGCCATTCAATGACTGAATGTTTTTTTCTTTCTTTTTTCTCTAAACAGCCTAAAAAAAGTCATTCATTTTTAACTGGAAACTATTTAACCATAAACGTTTTAATGTATTCAAATGACAACCTGTTATTCTTTCCACAATTATCAAACCAACAGGACTTTTTTTCAGGTTTGCAGTTCACCAGCCTTAGAGGTATACAGTAGTATGCAGGAACACATGAGTAAATAAATACACAGAAGATACAGACAATAATCTAAAGACTAACACCATGAGTCAGCAGTTAATGATGACCACTGACCTGGAGACACTGGACAACACTGGAGAGCGGTGGTGCTGTACACCTTCAACAACACCACAATAATCCTTGCTGTACTGTATGAAAACCACATCATCTATCTTTAAGTCATTTTTTTCTGCATCACAAAAGTGCATTGCACATTTTTATCCCCTTCATCACCACATCATCTATCTTTAAGTCATTTTAAAAGTTTTTTTCCCCGCATTACAAAAGCGCATTGCACATTTTTATCCCTTTTGTTACACAATTTGTGTAAGAATTTACAGTTTTGTTTTTTTTGTGTTCGATGCCCTTCCTATTGTCTTACCTATTGCACGGCAGGTGAGAATTCACACTCCGCGCTCCCTGTGCAGCAACAGATAAAACATTTTTATTTTGTCATTTATCAACTTTAATATTCCTCTAAGGCCCAGTCATGAGCTGCCCCTCCCACAGCTTCCTCAGATTTAACAGCAGCTGGCATCACTGCTGCACACTGGGTCGACTCTGCAGATACTGCGTAAAACAGAGGGAAAATGAAAAGGAGAAAGTGTCAGAATATACACAGTACATATACACTTCTAGTGACTTGTCATTCATTCAAAAACACCTGCATTCTCTCACATATCTGTGTTTATCAGTATTGACTGCCTGGTAAAAAATATTAAATATTTCTCTGTTGCTAAATCAAAGACCATATAATGTATATTCTTCCCTGCATCCAAATATAAAACATGGAAAATCTTCCATATGTTGTTGCATCTATATATATATATATGTGTGTGAAGAAGAACATGCCTGAGATTTCGGGTCCTTCTCACACGTCTTGTCTTCCTTCCCTTCGTGTTGGAGCAGGGCCCATCTGGGCCCACTGGTCCTCAAGGGCTACCAGTGAGTAACCAGTTACCCACCCAGCAAACCTTACCTGCTGTGTTAAAGCACTGGGTCGGCTGCAAGCAGAACAAACCGACGGAGCTCTCGTCTCCCTTCCCTGGGCTGAGGCTTCATAGATTCTGAGACTGTAGTCTTTGGAGCTGTGCTGCTTTCACTTCACTCTCAAACTTTCTTTCTCACCTCTACATTTTTATTTTTGTCATTTCTTCCTCTTCTCTATCTACCTCCCCCACCCTCCCCTCTCTCTTCTTATCCATCTTCCCTTGTCTTCTCCCCTCATCCTCTGCAGGGCTTGCCTGGATTCCCTGGAGTTCTGGGCAGACCGGTAGGTTCCTTGCTGCTGCTGCTGCTGCTGCTGCTGGCTGGCTGGCATGCTTAGGCCCCGAGGGAGTAAGGGTTGGGAGAACCTGTCTCTGTGGCATCAGATACAGTTGGGAGTTGACCAAAGTGTAATTCTTTTGTGGGTTTTTTTTTACCCCACCATATCTATATGTCACAAACTAAAACTGGAAGGAGGAGCATCATTGGAATGCAAACACTGTCAGGAGCCCTGCAGGATAAAATCCATCACTTTAATCCTAATTCATTTGTATTGGGAACATCCTTCTTAGAGCAGGCGGAGGGCAACCTGGGAAAGAAGCGAGACCTGATGGGTTTCTCATGAAATATTAACCAACGTCACCTCTCCCTATAGCATGCATGCAAGAGCTAAAATTTTTAAAGTTAAATTTTTAATGCGTAAAACAGCAGCGAGAAGATGAAAGGGAGTCTGCCGTCACCCTAAGCTGTAGCTGATGCCAGGATCCAGAGCACAATAGTAGAGGGGAATACTAAAACAGGCGTGAGCTCCAAAAAGTAATTTGTCGTTGGTTGGTCTGCTTCTCATGCATGAAGCTCTGTCTGCTGTCTGTCTGTCACGGCCTTGAAATGGACTGATGTTTAGGGTTAACTCTGTAATTGTCTATGTGCTGTTTTGTTATTCTGTTGTTGTTGTTTTTTTTTCTTGTTTTGGTAGAACATTTTGCATTTTTAGATAAAAGATAAACATGATAGTCTTAATCCATAGTGTCCGTTAGATTGTACGTTCATGTTGGAACAAATTTATAAATTGAGTAAATTATATTTTTCAAATCTGGTTTATAAGAATAAGTGATAGAAACTCTGAAAACATATGGGGGGATTAAATAAAACAGTTCTAAAATTAAAAAAAAAAAACCAAACAGCTAAACCTTCCTACATCACGGAATTCCTACTTTGTAGAAAGAGTCCAAATCTTTGGCAAAATGAAGGGCTGAAATTAAGTTCCTGGGAAAAAAAATCCACAAATCCTCAGTATTTCAAGAGGTTTTGAGTTGATCCAAAATGTGGCGTTTACTTTGAGATCGTAATCTTTTTTCTTAATATATTATTGGTAAAAACCACAAATCAAATAAAAGCCAATACAAAAAAAAACCCAGACACTTTTATTATAAGAACTGTATTAAAACTCTTTAGCTTACACTTGATGTGTGGAAACTTTACTATATTCTAGTAGTATTATATTTCTAGAAAAATAATATAAGTATTTACTGTAAAATATTTACTATATATATTTATTATACACTTTGGTGTGCTTGAGCTGCAACATGGTGTAAATCCTAACCAACCCATTGCAACTGCATGCTAATATAAAATATTGTTACTTTTTATTTATTCTTTCATGTAAACATTCTCCGTGTGTGTGTTTTTAGGGAAACCCAGGAGAGCCTGGTATACGAGGACCAACTGTAAGTGTCACGTATGTATTCACTCCTTCAGAAGAGTTCTATTAGCGTATGCTAACGTGTCCTGCTTTGTGTTATTCAGGGACCGTTGGGTCCAACAGGACTTCCAGGTCCACCAGGTGTGAAGGTGAATTCACAGCTGTTTAATCCTTTTTTTATATATTCTAAATAGTTGTTTTCTCATGTTCATGTTTTCATTTTCACACTCACTGGTCATAATGGGATGGAAATGTGTTTTTGAACAGGGTAATCAAGGAGAACCAGGCGTCGGAGTCCAGGTAAAACTGTTCCACCAACAGTTAACGGTCAGTCAGGAGTCTAGACTGGAGTTGAATAACAGATCAGTGTTTGCTCTCCTCAGGGTTCTCCTGGTGCCCAGGGGAGCACGGGTCTTCCAGGACCTGCAGGTCCTCCAGGAGCTGTGGTAAGTGTTCCCATAAATCACTGCCTGTCGTCAGAGAATAAATGGTTTTATGTAACTCACTGGATCCTGTGGTGTGTTTTCACATTGTTTTTCCTCATACTACTGTATTTATTTCCTTTTTCAGGGTCCACAAGGCCCTCCGGGTCTGCCAGGACAGGTGGTGAGTGTGCAATAATCCTGCTGCTGCTGCTGCTGCTGCTGCTGCTGCTGTGGCTACACAGTCAAGCACCATCAGGAGGTGTAAAATAATAGAAATACTTGGAGCCTGGGGCGTCAGAGTTGTAACTAGAAAATGGAAACCTAAACACAGAACATTCGTACTCTGCTGTCACTGGTTAAAAAATGTCCTACAGATCTGAAAGTTTGTTTCACCTTCAAAAAAAAAAAAAAAAAAGAATGGGGGAAACATCTAGAATCATACCATACTAAACCATTCTTGTTCTTAAAAGTTTATTTTAATATTAATCCTCATCAAGTGATGACATAATCAGTGATGGAAAGTCTTAAACATAATCCATGAACTTTTTAAAAAAAACCCATGGCTAGTTTGGATAGCAAAAAAAAAAGACTATTATTATTATTGTAGCAGTTAGCACATCTGCCTTACAAGCAGAGAGTCATGAGTTTGATTCCCAGTGGAGCCACAGAGTCCCTAATGATGCCTCCTGTTTCAGCCTGTGTTGCAGAGACTTGTGGGACAAATGAGGGACTCAATTATTATTATTATTATTATCTGCTCCTCAGGGTGAAGCAGGCAAACCTGGAGTTCCTGGAAGAGATGGTGTTCCTGGAAAAGAAGGAATTCCTGGCAAACCAGGAAAGCAGGTGTGTGTGTGTGTGTGTAGTTTGGATTGTGCTCTTTATACCGTGTGTGTGTGTGTAAGATCTGATCTGTTGTGTGATTTCTTTTTTTTTTTTTAAGGGCATCGCTGGACCTGCAGGCTCTATTGGCCTGAAGGGGGAGCAGGGGGACAGCGGTCCACCAGGGAAGGTGAGAACATGATGTATCTACAGGAGAGCCTGTGGCAAAATGGATGCTGGATGAATGTTATTGGGCATGTGGTCGGTTTAATTTGATTCAGTCCAAGATATAATGATACGTCGCCTGGAGTCATAGGAAAACACGTCTGATGTGCTTTTATTAGCTGCTTTAATGTGAGGGATTTTTTAAAATCTGATACGCAGCACAAGGTGGTCGTATTTGGAGTTTTCTTTTGAAGGTCTGTGTGAGACAGCTGGTGTTTGTCCACCTGGGGCTGGTGCTGTCTGTGCTGCTAATGTGGCACCACACACACACACACAAAGCTCTGTTTGAGTAATTATTTGTTTGAGCTTGAAAAGTGTAAAATGAACACTAAATATGGTGTGTGTGTGCAAATGAAATTCAACTTAAGATAAAAGTCACGCGTTTTATATCTAACAGACTAGTTTATAAAATACACGATTCTTCCATCCGTCATAGTTTCACAGCCCGTTGGACAGTTAGACTTTTCCCTATCAAATGACTGTTGTTGATAAAGGTCAAATCTTAATGACTGTTTTACATATTTTTAACCCACCTGTGAGTCATTATTCTCACATAAATCCATACTATACAGTCCTGGGTTTTATTTTCAGTGGAAAACTGAATAAAATCAGGGGGAAGATCTACATGCAGTTGTAGTGACTCCTGCTCTAAAAATAACAGTACAGCCCACCATGAATCGGAGTCCTTGCATAATAAATCTGTGCATAATATTACAGCACTGACACTGGCAAACTGACACTACACATGGGGGGCCTGGTTTGGCATCAGCACGGCCACATTGTCATATGCCCTGCAATTTATCTGTAATGTACAGTAGGTATAAATAATACGGTGTGTGACACAGTGTCAAACCGATAACAGACGTGACAGGAAAATGAGGCAGGAGAGGACTTTTAGGAGTGAGTCGCTCGTGCTCGTTCAGAATGTCAACGTTGAGGTTTTTGATCAAAACTAGACGTGTTAATATGTGTTTAATATGAAGCTCATGAGCAAAGTTATTAGTTATGATTTGCTTCATTAAAATCCACTGTTTAACAATAACAATGGCAGTTTTTATATTAAGCTATAAAAACAAAGTATGTTTTTTTTTTCATATCAGCAGGATATCAGGCTACGTGACCAAACATGAGTGTAATTTTAGGATCAGGGAGTTAAAATGGCTGTTTAACCATAGATTATTATTGATTTACGCTGCTCCACTAAACTCCAGCTCAACTGGAACGTGGCTAATGTATGCTAACACATCATTTATACGACATGCAGCTTAGGTTTGAGACTGAAAGTGAGTTACAGACGTTGGGACAACACCACACGGTGAAGTTTGTATGTGTGATCCTTCCCTCTTGTCTTTGGTTGTGACATACATTTTTTAATGATGTCCTCAGTTTCCTCAGTCCCTGCAGTGCTCGTGGCCTGAGCTTCAGCACCTTGGACAGCACCACAGTAGTGCTGTCGGTAATTTCACCAGTTAGTCCACATGTCTCCAAGGGGCCATCTGCTCCGTAGCTCCACCATTTGTTCACACACACACACACACACACACACAGCTGAAGTGACATGGCAGTTTCCATCGTCACAGTTACTCAACACCTCTGAGAAACTCTATATCTCTGTGTGGTTTTTCTCTTGGCTTCATTTATTACCGTAATCTTACCTTTTTTGAACATAGTCATTTTGGTGACCGTAAAATTGCAGGAAGCACACGTTACAAAGTGTGTCAAAGTCATCACATACTTTCTTTAAAAAAAAAAAATGAACAAAGTGTCGGCAGCTGAGCACCAAGCTCTGGACGGTCACTTAGAGTAAGTGCAACGATGGATCGCAGTAGAAGCTGTTCGTTTGGTGCTTGTCTTTGCAGCTGACATCCGTCCATTTAGTCTTTAGTTGGGTTGACAAGAAATTTGAATGTCAAGGCTTTTAGGTGCACAATTATGTCTTTGAATCAACACGAACATTTACAGTTTTACTGCCATTTTCACAGGCAGTTGCAGGACCTCCTGGACCAAAGGGAGCAATCGTGAGTCACTGCAATAATCATTACTTTTGATGTGCTGCATATTTTACTGTTGAATAACTGTTTCAAATAAAGTAGCAATTTTTATTTTATTTATTTATTTAAATTTTGGTTGTACTTGATGCAGGGCCCCCCCGGTCACACTCTACCTGGCCTCACAGGAGAGAGGGGTCTGCCTGGAGAGAAGGTGAGTCTGCGTGAAGGTCAAGGTCAATACCCAAGGTCACTCCAATTACGGAATCGCATTACTATGATAATTTTTGACAAATTCTCCTCAAACTGCTGTCGTTCAGGGAAATAGAGGAGACAAAGGTGTCGCTGGGGGCAAAGGGGAACGAGTGAGTTTATTCACACTCCAGAATAAAACACATTGATTATTACTATAAATAACGACATGCTGACCACATTCTTTTGTCATCCTATCAGGGACAAGATGGTGATTCTGGAGACCCTGGAGAAGATGTGAGTACCTCTACATGAGGGGAGGTCTAAATGTATGCACTTGTCCTTTTGGAAACTAAAATGTTATAAAATATTTTAATAAATGAGGGGATTTATGTTTTAAACTAGCTATGGATGTTGTCTACAGTATTTGGATTACTCTACATGAGGGGAGGTCTAAATGTATACACTTGTCCTTTTGGGAACTAAAATGTATTTAAATATTTTATTAAGTGATGGGATTTATGTTTTAAACTAACTATGGATGTTGTTTACAGTATTTGGATTCATCTTATGCTGTTCCACATTTTACATGTCACTTCCCTATAACTCCAGTAGGGGGTCAATGTTGCAAGTTTTTTTTTATTAGTATGAAGAGCTCTGAAGCCATGTCAAAAATGTCTTTCAAAAAGCAATCGATAAATTTTCTCTGACGTCGTTGGTGAGTTATGGAGATAAAAACCTAAACGCAGGTATTGTTCTTACCCTTCTCAACAAGCAGCCGTTCCTGTATGGTGCTCAGATCCCTCACAGGTGGACCAGTCCTCTGTCAGCTTTCTCTTCCAGCTGCTGTGAGCTTAAAAGAAATCCACGAGTAAAGAGAAGTTGGCGGTAGTGCAGGTGGCGCTGTAAACACATTTGAATGTCAACGTCTATGATGCGATTTGTGAGTTTAATTCAGCCAGACATGGACGGGAGGGGTTAGAACGCTTGCTTTACTGCGAGATCATCTCTGGTCCCTGTGTTTGTCTTGTTGGTGTGGAGTGGTTTCTACACGGACTCTGTTTCTGCAAAAACAGTTCAAAAACATTCAAAGTCAGGTTTATTTTTTTTACTCTTTATTGAAGTGTTTGTTTGATCGATTTTTGTTTAAAACCTCCTGATGATGATGATGATGAAAAAAAGACAATAATAGGTCGTTGGTTTGAATGTGATTTATAAAACTGGACTCTTGGTCTTGATTATTTTACTTCAAAGTCCAATGATTTAATTCCAGCTAAACGGTGAAGTCTTTAGACTTTCTATCTGAAAGTGTCAGCCGTAATTGAGATCAATTTTCTCAGAAGACTGAGGAGTTTTTTGATTACGCGTCGTCCTTGAGGTTAATAGAGCGTTTGAACTGTGATGACAACTGCAGCACTGTTAGTACAAACCAATGAAAATGGAGTATTATACTTGACATAATACTTTAAACCTTAAAAACCTTTAAACCTTCAAACTCCTGGCAAAGTCAGTTTTATTTTTCACTCCTCTTTGCTCACAGGGGGCACAGGGATCTCCGGGGCCAAAGGGAGATAAGGTCAGTGAACATTCACTTTGTGGGTTTTAACATTTGCCCCTGGGGTGAAAAAGTCGGTTTATAACAAACTGTGTGTTTCAGGGTGAAAAGGGCATCGGACTGGCTGGTCCTCCCGGTCGAGACGGTCCTCCAGGTCTGAAGGTGAGTTTGGTGCGAGGTGATTCATGTAGTCATTGATCTACAGTAACTGTATCACATCTGTACATCTCATTTTCAATCCAGGGAGACCCAGGCCTTCCTGGTCCTGCCGGTCCTCCAGGACCACTGGGAAAAACTGGTGCTGCAGGGCAACCTGGTCTAAGAGGGGAGAATGGACAACCTGGACCTCCAGGACCCCCGGGGGAGAGGGTCAGTTCAGTTATTCATCACATACTCCTGACTTTTAGACTCACCACAGTGGTGTAAATGACGCTTTTTCTGTTTTTAGGGTCTTCAAGGTTTCGTTGGCCGTGTTGGAAATGTGGGACCGGCGGGTCCTCCTGGACCCACTGGAGAAGCTGTGAGTTTGACGTCTTTCTCATGACACTGCAGAGTTGAGTTAACGGCTGAGGACAAAACCATTGTCTCCAGTGAACACAAGTTAAAAAACTACCACAAATTTACTTCAGTCTTTTCAGCATTAGAATATCAGGATGAGATCAAATAATTTTGTAAAGAATTGATTTAAATATGTTGATGAAATTCATCATGTTTAAGATCACTATCTCTTTTTTTTTTTCTTTCTTTCTTTTCAAGGGCGCTCCTGGTACCAATGGGGGCAAAGGAGACAAGGTTCTTAACTAGTCCAACACATATTTCTGTCCAAATGCTTAAATGTCTGTGGACTAGTTATAGTTAAGGATATTCATTTCCTTTCTGTTGCCAGGGAGAGATTGGTGTTGGTGTCCCTGGTACGAGAGGAGAGCGAGGAGATCCAGGACCCAGAGTGAGCTGTTTTGATCAAATATGTATTTTACTCTGGAGATAAAAAAAGAAATAGTTTGATGTTCATTGTAATTCTTCCTGTTTCTAATTTTAGGGAGAGGAAGGTCGCCCCGGTTTGGATGGAGAAAGAGGGTCAACAGTAAATATATAGATTTGTTTTACTAGAAAAAGAAAGCATGTGAATAATTTTATTGATTAGAGGGTCAACAGTAAATATATAGATTTTTTTTTTTTACTAAAAAGATTAGAAAAAGAAAACAAGTCTGCCTATTTTTACCAGAATTAAATTGAGTTGTTGATGTAAGATGTTATACCTTGAAACATTTTAAAAAACATGTTTGAAAAATTTTTATTTTTTTTTGTATTGCAGTTAGTAGTAATAATTGAAAGCCAAGTGTCATATTTTAACTCCTCAAACTATGATGAGATGTAACATCATTTTGGTTGACATTTTCTTGGTAAAGTCATATGAACCTGTGTTTGTCAGGGTCCTCAAGGGGGTCGTGGTATTCGCGGAGAGAAGGTAAATACATTTTTTTTTTCTTTTTTTCCTCCACCAATTTTCATGTGTGATTGCTCCTATTTTCACTGCATTAGTCTGAACTGCCAATCGAACAGAAGCTGCTGCTGCTGTAGCTGCGAGCTGTCAGCTCTGTGCTGCTGTTAAGCTGTGATTTAAATTGATTCGCCAGGACATGTTTTTTTTATTTTTTTCTCATATTTTGTTCAGGGGGATTCTGGACTTCATGGTGAAAAAGGAGACAAGGTTTGAACATCTTTGTTTCTGTGACTGTAACACTGACAGGATGTGGACAGAATTGAGTTGATTCAAAATGTTCTAGAGACAATTTTTTTTTTATTGAATTTATAAACACATGGCAAATATTTTGTTTTATTTCCAAGAGACAGAAATGAAAATAAATCCTCAAAAACACCCCTGTACGATACAGAGCAACGATACGATATTTTGCGATGTGTTGCGATACAATTTTTTATATTTTTTTAACAATTTAATTGTAGGAAAATGAACATCAGATCAATAATGTGTTATTGTGAAATGAAACATAGTGATATTTCAGTGTATCCATATTTTCTTACATTGTTGTAAATAACTAATTTAAAATAATATGTTGAAAAAAAATGTTAAAATTCTCAAATGCTGTGATTGTTTGTTCAGAGATGTTCTTTTATTGACAGGGGGACACGGTGCTGGTGGGGGGGCCGGCTGGAGAAAAGGGCAACAAAGGCGAAACAGTCAGTCAAACTCAGTGATGTTCATGTTATTGTTATTTGTCACTGTTTCCAATGTCACTTCACTATAAATGTTTTTGCTCCAGGGCGACCGGGGGCCTAAAGGTGTTCAGGGTGAAAAGGGAACAAAAGGCCAAGAGGGTCCAATAGGACAGCAGGTAGGTTCTAGATGTAGTCATTCTAGATTAAACTTTTATATCCTGCGTTTGCTTGACATTCTGGTAACTGGGTACACTGCACTGACTTAGACTCCAGATGAAATGTCACCGTGTAGATGTCATCAATAATCAACGTGAAATGATTGTCTGATATATTTATATCTATGTGCCAAACATCAGGGGCTGAGGGGAGAACCAGGGGAGAGGGGATCGGGTGGATTCCCTGGTGCTCGTGGCCCTGGTGGACAGAAGGTGAGTCATGTCATTGCATTGGATTGCGATACAGTCAGAATCGTGATTAACTACGGTGGGAGTCGGTTGTTAGTGAGGGTAATAATTGCCGTCATTATAATTACAGTAATTGTGGTTTCTGTCTCCGCAGGGAGAAGCTGGCCAACCTGGAGTACCAGGAGAAGCTGTGTGTTTTTTTTTCTGTCTTCTTGCAAAATGAGTTTAATCATAATATTTATTTTTTTTTTTTACAGATTGTTACTAATGTGCATGGTGGGTTTTTTTTTCCTAGGGTTTACCAGGAAAAGATGGACTATCTGGGCTTAGGGGGGACAAGGGAGTGACTGGTCCTCTGGGAATGAGGGGGGTCAAGGTAGTTACAGTCTCCATGTGTGCAATCATTTTTACTCTGCTGAGTGAGAACAGTGGAATGGCTCTGACATTGTTAGCTCTATAATAGAAAAACATCCCTGCAGAGACGTCGCCTCTGAATCCCAGTGTGATAATGAATACCTAACGGCAAGGATTGCTCGACCATGGAAGGCCAATTTCTCTGGTTTTACTCTTTTATTTGAATCCCATTAGAATAAGTGGACCAATCAAAACCACCACAGAACCTAGCGACGTGCTGGTTTTATATCGGAATATCATTATTCGTTCAGGTAACATCATTGGACTATCGTTGTCTGTAGTTAGTCTGTCGTTTCCTAGTGTTTAAAAAAAAAAACATTATAATAGAAATACAATCTGGACCGCAGGCAGGACAGTCCAGCGTTCACATGAACAAAAGGAAGTCTGACATACCCTGAACCCTGAACACAACATGTAAGTAATGAAATATGCACTTGTTTCAAGATTAACACTTATAGAGGAATATTTATAAGTAGGGTTAAGAATTGGCCAAATACGATACGTATCACGATACAGTGGCAACAATACTATATATTGCAATATACTGCGATTCTATAGACACCGCAAAATATTTTTTAAGTGTTTTATTTGTAGGAAAACTGTCAGCACAACATCAGGTTATCAAATTTTGAAAAGGGATCTACATTTGTAGAGAGAAGAAAAAAAAAACAAAATAAAATGAACCAGTGCTGTTTATATCTGACTGGTAATTGTGAACTAAAATCATTAAAATAAATAAAAAAGAAAAGTCCTTGCAAACTTCTTCATCACCTGCTGTTCGAAAACTTTGTTCTCTGCAAACGTAACACGGATGTGAGTCACCCTGAGTGAGTGGCGGCTGAAGGGGCTTCTGTGCCTGCATCTATAGACCCTCTCTCTCTTGTTTTTCCCATTTTGAAGCTTTTTTTTTTCCTTTCTTTCCTCTTCTGTGACTCACAGGTCTCTCTCCAGGTGCCACTGATCAACATGTGTTTTTGTTATGTTTCCAGGGTGACCGAGGACCCAAGGGGAACTGTGGAGGCGACGGACCCAAAGGAGACAAGGTGAGAAAAAGACCGGAGCAGAAATGATACAAGAAGGAAGACGAGGAAGTGGCAGCCACGGGTGAAACTCTGCATTCAGATTATTGTACACAAACAGCGCGATAATTACACTGCTGTCGTGTAAAACTCATTACCAGAGAAGGAATGTGGGATGTTAAACTGTAATCCGTGGAGTTATTCAGATAAAGATGAGTCATGTGTTAAGTGATCGGTGTATTGATAAAATGTAAATGCGCAGGGAGACGGCGGTATTCATGGACGAGCCGGCCTGCCGGGGAGAAAAGGTGAACAGGTATGACTCACCATCTGGAAATGTGCTCTCATTAAAACAGGGCTTTAAAGGTTTTGTGATTTTTTTTTTCTCATCTTGTGTTTGCTGCTTGTTTTCTCAGGGTGATATTGGACCTGCCGGTGCACCTGGTACTCCTGGAAAAGAAGGACTAGTGGGCCCCAAGGTACGTACTCCTACTGAATTACAGCCAAAATGATCTGTCACACTGAGATTTGACTGCTGTTGTTTGGCTTTGAAGGGAGACCGCGGGTTTGATGGATTGTCAGGAAACAAAGGAATACAGGGAGACAAAGGGGAAAGGGTGAGTCACCCTCTCTCTCTCTCCTTCTCTCACCCTAACCATCATTATCAGATGGTGAACTTTATCTTAGTTCTACAATAATTACATGCTTTTTTTTCTAACCTTTTCTCAGGGTCCTTCAGGTCTCCCTGGACCTCCAGGTCCCCGAGGAGTGGATGGGATTGCCGGTTTGAGTGGGCCTCCGGGCCCCCCTGGTGCTACTGGTCCTGAGGGTCTCCAGGGGCAAAAGGTAGATTTAGATTAGTTAGGTTTCAAGTTTAACATAGATGTATTTTGAGTTAGAAATCAAGAAGCAGAGCGTCATAACAACAGAGAAGATTAA